GTCGGGAAGGGCAACATCGGAAAAGGAATTTTGAGGAACCGTGTTCTGTGCCTGTTTGCGCACAGTACTTTGACGCCTCCGTGTGCTGAACTATTTCAAAATTTATGGGCAGTGAAGCTACCAAAAAGGCAGGTCGTTTGAGATGAAAATTGGTCGTTCCATGTGCAAAGGTGTGCATTAACTGTGAATACCAAACAGTAAAACAGCCTTTTAAAGTACCAATCTATAAAATAATTTCAGTATATAAGTATATTTTTCTCCCTTATACGTGTAAGGTAAGATGTCGGTGTCCAAAAAAAAGAAGTTTAATTAAATGTCAGCTTAACTGAAAAGGCTGAAAGGATTGTGGTCTGAGCCTGGTTTGGATTGTGTGTATTTATTATTTACAGTACCTTCTATAATTAGTTCGATATGTTTGATTGCCAAACCTTTTATGAAAATAGAAATTCCACATAACTACTTCATTCCACCCACTTGAAAAAAGGATTACCCCCTTACCTTCTGTAACATTTTAATATTAAGTAAAATGTCAGAATGAGACATCCGGAACGTTTTCTGTTAAAAAAAAAAAGAAAGAGATCAGGAGATAAACTTCAAAATGTTTCATTGCCTTATATCCATTTTATTCAATCCGTATTTTTCTTCAAAAGCAATAACCCAGGAAAACAAAAAAGTCCAAAGTATACATGCATTTACAAACACGAAGAACAACCATTGCCTTTTAAAAATCATGTCCAAGTAAAAACTCCAATTGACCGATTGCGTCCACCAAGTCACGTGAGCTAGAGTGCGTATTAAATGTCAACAAACACGGCGTCCACCAAAATGTTTCATAAGTATCATTTACCAAAACTAAAGCCGACGGTAGGTACCATACTCAGACTACTGGTGTGCTGGGTACTAGGGCCGTTTTCCAATACTCAACTTCAGCTCCGTCTCAGGCTTCAACTGTTTTTTAACTAGCTGACGTTGAAGCTGTTAGCGCAGTATTTAGTTTAATAGTGCCACAAAACATCAAATAAGATGCAAGAGAGCCAGAAATTAGAGTAATCCAATTTAATTTAAACGCTTCGAGCCCACGATTGGGGATTGGTTTTGGGAACGAAGCCTGAGATGGAGCCCAAGTCGAGTATTGGAAAAGGGCCTATATATCGCAAGTTGCCTGTATTGTTTGTAAACAACACTTAAAGCACACGTTGCTATGGGGTTGATAACCACTATATGTCACGTGATTGAGCAGGCGCAATCGGTCTACAAGGGCTAAAATGCTTCCCACTTCGAAGGACCGCTGTGACACAGATTCTAAATATAAGAAAGAAGAGAGATAAGAGTTTGTAAGAAAACCTGTTAGACTTCACGCAAAACCTAACACCAAACAACTGTGTTATTACAAAGAACACAAAGGCCACATCTGTATGAAGACTGTGGCAGCTTTGTCAGCAACGTGTGTTTACCTTCAGGTGCTGCATCAATAGACTCGCATTGTTCACATTCAGACATCGACTTTAACAGAGGTCACTAAGGAG